CCAGGAATTAAAAGGAAGTATTTATTAGGGAGATAATACTCCCACCACGGACACCAAGTTTGTTATTATTTTAAGCAACACCCTATGATTATAAAGGGTTTAGAATAATTGGATTGCTGAATAATAAAACCTTTTATATATCTTCTAATTCTCCTACAGAATACTTAAGTTAATTTAATCTAATTGTTAAAAATAAAAACCCATGAAATTTTGTTAAATACTCATTTATTACATTTTCATCAGCACAATAACTTCCAGATACAGCAGTCAAATTAGAACAGCCTTCTAAAACAAGCAACAATTGGGTCATTTAAAAATGATCTCCAACTCCAACAAAATCATGATTTAACACAATAGTACCATTATCAATTGATATTTTAAATGGCTTATCTTCACTACTAAATATTGGGATTGGTTTATCAATTATTGTTGTATTCAAAATTCGATATAAATTAGGAGTAATGATATTATTTTCTTTTCTGAAAGGATCAACATCTCCTGAAAAATCTTATAATTCTAATTAAATTATAGAGTCTGACAACTAAAATTCAGCATATGAAATAGTTTGTTATTTAATACTAACAATAGCAGGTATTTGATGATCAATCCATTATATGATAACATATAAGAAATATGTTAAACTAATCCCTCCAATCAAAATAGTAATTAATCCACCAAGCTTGCTTTGATATAAGGATGCCTTAGCCGCGGTTAAAAGGCTTACAGGAACCCCAAAAATATCGACTTTATCAATAGTATTTAGTATTTATTACATCTAAATTAAAAAATAAAATACTGAAGAAATATTTCATAGTTTTATAATGATTATTCAAAACTATTAATGATTAATAAAATTTATTATATTTCTTTTAGAATACCAGTAATTTGATAATCAATATACGAAAACTAACTTATGAGGAATAATAAATAAGTATTGACATTTTATAATTAATTTTTATATAACTACTTCATTACTGTATTATAGATTTGAGAAACATGTCTTTAAAAGAATTCTATTTGCAAGCAGACCAATTCAAATACTTTGTATTAATTACTCATCAAAATAGAGTGATAGAACTTATCCACAATTCAAATTTTGATGAAAAATAAGTACTTGATAGTTAAATTTTGAGTACTTTTAAGAATGTATTAATTACAAAGAAGTGGTATTTTAAGTTAATCTAGAAATAATATTTTACTAAATTAATTTCAACAAATTGATTAGAATAGAATTAAATCTGGATAACCTATTTTAAACTTTTATTAATTATTGCAAATTCGAAGTATAGTAAGCAGTTTAAATCAAACAATTTCAATGTAAACCAAAAAAATGTATTTATTGAACGAAAAATGTAATTATTTTAATTACTGATAGACTTTAATTTTATGAAAATAAACCTTTAAAGTTATATACGTAATTGAACAATCTGATTTACTTACATTAAAAGATTGATTTATGAGTAAGATTCGAAAAATAGTAATATATTATTATTACAGACTCTTGTAATATTTTCTAAAATAATATTTTTTTAAAAATATATCCCTCTTTCTAATGAAATTTTATGGGAGAGCTAATTTAATCGAAGGGAAATCTATCAATTGCCATACCTAAAGTAGAGAAATCCTTTAAGCACGGCGTAAAGGAGTTTGAATTATATTCTAAAGCTAACTGCATAATACTGAGTTTGTTCATTTCATTCCTCTAATTATTTTTTTAGATATTTCTATGAGCAGTTTCTGAGATATATGACAGCCTTTTGGGAGAACGCTATACTTGGTTAATATCGATTGTAACTATGTGAAAATTGAAATCTTGTTCTTCTAAAAGGAAAAAAAAATTTATATTTCTAGATATGAGGACCATTACATTATCATCTAAATAGAATTTCAATACTTTATAATAAGTAATTTTAAGGATATAATAGATAGATTATAAGAATTCTTTATTGCAAAATTTAATCAAAAATTTTCAAGAAATAACATGTTGAAAATCATGCTTTACAAATCTAAAAGCTTTTAGTCCTTTTTTTAGATTATTTTATTTTTGGAATAAAATTCGTTAATTTTATAAGTATATTGTATACTTTTTTGTTACTTCCCTCCCAGTTTATAAAAAATTT